CTATACGTACAGTACCTAGCACAATGGGATCTGCCTGTGCTCCTGTAATACCAATGATCAGTTATTGCACCTTGCCTTTTGTGTGCTAAGCATTTGTCCCCTTTAGATGAAAGATATCACGAGCAATTTAAAATGGAGGGGGGGAAATTAGCTGTGGTTTAGTATCTTTGAGTTAATCAGAAGTTGTCTTTCTATCCAGGAATCTGCCTCTCCAAAATGGTTGTTAATAGACTCGAGGCGGGAGTGCTGCGATACCGAGATTATCCCTCACTTCCTTCTCACAGCCAGTTCAGCTGCGAGACTATACTGGTTATTTCCCTTATCAGCAATTTGCAGATTCTGCTGAAAAAAAGAACGAAAACAACAAATGTCTCAGCTCTCGATCTTATCGCTGAGCTGCCTTGCAAGGTGCCAAGACGCAAAATGGTTCACTCTCGCTGCTGCACCATCACCTGCCCCGCGTACAAATGTCGGAGGAGAAACCATGACAGATTACTAGCCCCTGGAAGGGGATGTTTCAATGCGGTCTGCTGGTGGTAGGGCCACCGTTCAGGTTGGCCTTGTGAAGGTTCTGGGTTCCATTTCTGGCTCTGCCACTGGTTTATGTATGACTATGGTCAAGTCACTTAATCTCGCTGTGCTTCAGTTCCCTGCCTGTGAAATGAAGATAGCAACACATCTTTTGAGATTGCAAGCTCTGTGGGGCAGGGACTGTCTCTCCCTATGTGTCTGTGCAGCACCTCAGACAAGGGAATGCTGATCGGGGCTGGGGTGTTCCTGTCAGACACGTAAATAAGAATTCCCTGCAGACGCTCCTAGCTGAAGGTGACCTTTCTGGGTAGTATACTTTACTCACTTCTGATTAGTCACTAGCAAGAGCTCTATTGCATATATGCAGCCTTTTCCTCTGATCTTTAAATTACTCCTTGTCTGGTCTGAGCCCAGTGGAGAGCAGAGATGCAAGGGCTTGGTCCGTGCCCAGCGAAAAAAGAGCTGGATCTTGGCCTTAAATGTGAACTATGCATCCCAGTGCAGGGCGGGTAAACCTGACCTGTTTTGCTAGCATCCAGAGGCCTGGGGCATGGATGATTTAATTTGCCGAGTGCCTCTGAATTATGTACCTGGTCCTTCCAGGCAGGAGATCTGTGCTGGGTGAGGCATGCTGACCAGGGCCGGCGCAACCCATTAGGCGACCTAGGCGGTTGCCTAGGGCACTGCGATTTGGGGGGCGGCAACCGCGGCGGTATTTCGGTGGCGGGACCTTCCGCCGCCTCTGTGAGGGGGGGGGCGGCATTTCAGGGCGGCAGAAAAGCTGGCGGCGCTCCTGATGCTGACTCCAAACTTCTGTACCCAGCTCTGTAGCTTTGCATCAGATAAATAGGTGGTGATGATCAATCTAAGTACCTGGACAGAGTGTTGCCTTGACAGCATTTCCTAAGCAGATCTTTCATTGATTGAGGTAGTTTCTTGTGAAGTGGCTGCTGACAGAAAAGAAGCTCTCGCAGCCAATGCACTTTTGAGCTGACGTAGACGTTTCTTGCATTAAGGTGGAAGATGAATTATAACCCCTCTAACGAGATTCAGTGATGTGTGTGGATCAGGGACAACTGAAACTGACTTGCCCACATATGACCTGAGCTGGTGCACAGCAGATGGGAGGAGGTTACATGATGGATCCTAAAATGGCACTTTGTTGCTTTGAGCTCCCGTCCCACCACTCCGAATACTCTGAATTAAGTAATCTAGGTGGGCAGAGTAATGATGCTCCCCCTCTGCAGCTGTAATGGCCTGAGTTGAATTTGCCCCAGATCTTGGGATTAACCCCCTTCTCCTCATGAATCCATGGGATCTTTAAGGAACACAAGTGGAATCAAGGGCTCAGTTTTGCACCTCCATCAGCACAGCGCCCTCTACAGCACTGGGGCAGATACAAGAACACCAGCCTTTGCCACCACTCATCCCTTGAGGACTTCCAGTCAAATATAGACCTGACTCAACTCTGCTTAGCTCCGAGGCAGGGCTGATGTGTGGGGGGGGGGAAGAGGGGGCAGTTGTACAAGGGCCCTAAGCATCTGTAACTGAGGTGAAATGGAAGGGGACCCTAGTGAACATGATACATTAAGACAGTGGTTCCCAAACTGGGATTCGTGGCCCCCTGGGAGTTTGCAAAATGTTACAGGGGGTTCTCAGGAAAAAATTCCCTAATGGCAGACAGAGCTGTCCCTAGAAACCCCGGGCAGCACGGGGGCAGCAGCCCAGAGCCCCTGGACTTCCAAGAGCTAAGCAGATCAAAGCAAGCATCTCTATCACACTGAGGAGATTTCAACGTCAAGACTCCTTATAAGAAATGGAAAGGGAGGTGGATATTTTTTGCTGTTTTTAAAATTAAATAGGCAGCCAGGATTATTTTTAAAATTATTATGAAGAAGAAGTTGAAGCTTTGTTGTAACGTGCGTTGTTTGCCTGGACTGCTCAAGACCTGAATGCTTGTGTAGGAGGAACTCTTTAAGTTGGCTCCTTAAATCTCTTCCTGCTGTTTCACATCTGATACTCCTTGATGAAACACAGGAGCCTTGTCTTAGAACAGGCTTATTCAGAGTGATACAAAGTGAGATCTTGGAAGAGTGTTGCCGTTTTCATAATGTAATAGAAATACTGTAATGATAAATAATTAATAATAAATACTGTGTGATAAGCAAGTCAGAAAAACAAATTTTATATTGCCAAGATCACTGCTTTTATAATTTATACTCAGGTAAAGGAGAAAATCCCTGGAAATATTCATTTTTAGGGGGGGGTTCGTGAGACTTGACATTTTAGTGAAAGGGGTTCACAGGTTGTTAAAGTTTGGGAACTGCATTAGGGCCTGCTCAGAGGAGATCACAGTCTAAGACAAGGCGGCAGTAGATCTATGGGTTGTCCAATGGCAGCTGTATCCACCCCAAGTGTTAAAGTTTGGCGTTCGCTTCCTCTTGCCTACCTGAACGGAGGCTGAGGCCCTGGCCAACTGCTCCGTCTTCATCCGAGAGCAGCTTTCGACTGCTGCGCTCCAGCACAGGAACTGCCTGCTGCTCCCCCCCAAGCTTGACTAGAGATGCCCACGCTGGAGAGCCTATGTTGTGTGCGCACACATATGTACACATGACAGACACATGATGGCTGATGTGGGATGACATTCCTCTTTCATGACCAAGGAGGGACTTCAAAAGCCAAAGCCAGTGGGGACTAGAAAGAGTTGTTGTTTCCTCTCCCCCAGCTTTTCTCTTGATCTCAGTGCATGGGAGCTCATAAGAAAAACTACAGAACTGCTTCCTCTGGGTTCCTATCTCAGCCTCACAAACTCACTACCCTCAAAACATCACGGCCCAGAACTTGCACCCATAGGCACAGGTACCGGCCTCTCTCGGCTGGGCTAAAGGAGAATTCCCATCATATGCAGATGGAACCCACACACCTCCTGGGGGTGGGGTTCTGTCCCTCTCGTGACACCGAGACCACTTGGAGAGAGAGTAAATGAGTCTGCGCTACAGCCTTAGCTAACAGCAAGTTGGCTTTTAACAGAGATCCCAGGAGGGGGCAGTTAGGGGACAAGGAGTGGGGGGGTTGGATGGGTCGGGAGTTCTGAGGGGGGTAGTCGGGGGGGCGGGAAGTGGGAGGGGCCAGATAGGGGGTGGGGACCAGGCTATTTGGGGAGCACAGCCTTCCCTACCCAGCCCTCCATCCAGTTTTGGAACCCCAATGTGGCCCTCGGGCCAAATATTTGCCCACCCCTGCCATAGAGGCTCATGCACTAAGCTCCAGAGGTCCCAAGTTTGATCCCGCCCGCCGACGACCGGAGTCTATTGGTGTTACACATACACTATAGGGCATATGACACACAGCTTAGGTGCTCTGATCCCAAGCAGTATGTACAGTGCCCTGGGTTCAGTTAGCGCGCACATCCCCTGGAATGGGGTGGAAAGGAGGCATTCCCAATCTGCAGCTGGAATATTTGCAAATAAATCCTCCCTGAGGAAGGAAGGTAGGAGAGGGGCAAATTTCTGCTGAGCAGGTTTCAGACAAACACCAGGTATGAAGCAGATTTATTAGGATCAGACGAAAAGCATTTTTCACACTGAAAAGCAAAAGGCCTCATAGTATCAAAATAGCAGCAGGATATTGTTATTTATTATGTGTATTTCTGGTAGGGCCTAGCAGCTTCCAAAATGAATCAGGGCTTCTTGGTGCCAGGTGCTGTACAAACACAGAGAGATGGTCTCTGCCCCAAAGAACTACAAGCTATATAAGACAGGTGGGTGGAACAAACTATGGGCAAAGGAAATGAGATCCCGAGTTTGCATGGGCCAAATAAAGGAGAGAAGAATCCAGAGCCTTTCCTAGCCATTGCAACATGGGTCAGGCAACGGCCAGTTCTGGTAGCATCAGTGGGCAGGCTGAGATTGGGAAGGTGGGGTATGGACACACGATCATCCTCTGGTGTTGTCACTGGGGACTGAACCCCTGATCTCTAGTGCTAAAGGCAGAGTGTCCACTGCTTGAGCTAAAGGAATAACCCTGCTAGCTATAGTAGGCTCTTATCCCCGGTGGTGCAGCCACTAACTCACACTGATCGCTGTCACCACTGAATTAAACAGAGAACAAATGGATTACTCTCCCAGACTGGATTATCTAGATGTAAAAACCTCTCTTCCCCATTTAATCCTTTCACAGCCTTTAGGGCAGGCCTGGGTCCTGTGCACCATCAGAGCGCACCAGACCCCGCTGGGGTGAGTCCCTACTGTCCTGTTCAGCAGTGAAGTGGTTAAAGCAAGCACGTTCTCGGCTTGTGTTTTTCTTAATAGAGTCAGGTGCGGGTGGGGTTCTTAGCAGCACTTGGGGGAGCAGGGTGAGGGAGCCATTCCTGTCGGGGGTGCTGGGGCAGGATTCACAGAAGGGAGATGTTGCTGGCCGGGAAGGATGGGGGTTGAGCAGCCCCCTCCAATCCCCTCCCCCCAGATCCTTTAACTGGCCGACTTGATGATTTTGTTGATCCACGGCAGGTATCTTGAGATCTTGGTATAAACCGTTGGGGTCTTGCCACATTGCTTGCTGCCAAAGGAGACCACGCCTTCAGCCACGCCGTTGCAAACCAGCGGCCCACCCGAGTCGCCCTGCAGACGTGACACACGAGAGCCAGGCCGCATGTTAACAGCACAGGAACCACAGAAGCCTGATCTGACTCATGTCTCAGGGCAGCTACCTTAGGTACTTCTATGGCCCCATTATCACAGTATCTGAGCACCTCACTATCTCTATGACTCTACCCTCACTGCCCCTCTGCGAGGTAGGGCAATGCTATTGTCCCCAGGTTACAGAGGAGGAACTGAGGCCCCAAGAGAGCAAGGCCCAGATCCTCAAAGGCAGTTAGGCACCTAAATCCTCTGGGAGTCAGGTGCCTAAATCCCTTTGATCTGCACCTAAGTGATTTAACCACAGGCACACAGGAAGCCTGCAAAGGAGCAGTCCCACGTTCCAAGCTAGCACCCTCACCTCTAGGCCCCCCCACCTCTCACTGCATCACCCCTTGAACTCAGTGGGCCTGCCATTCTCTCGCCCTGCCTCTCGCCCAGTCACTTGCACCCGGGCAAAGAGCCGGTGAGAGGCTGACGACGCAGACTAGCAGCATTTTACGCTCGCTGAAGGAAGCCTGCAGTTCAGTGACCTGACAGCCAAATCTGGATCTCAATGACGAATGTGGGAATTACCAGACTGGATCAGACCAGAGCTGCAGGATCTGTCCTCCTGCAGTGCCGGCTGTTTATAGGTTTAAGAAGCTGCAAAAACCCCAGGAGTAGGTTGTTATGAGATAATGGGCCCCCAGGGCGCCTTTCTTCCTGACCTCTTATAGTTAACGGTTGGATCATGCCCTGAAACATGCGAATTTATATCCCTCCACCCCTGCCCCCAAATCCATATTATCATAACTCCGGATATTCCTGTTATCCACAGAAACGTCCAGTCCTTTTATGAAGCCTGCTAAGCTCTTGAGGCTATCCTGTGGCAGTGGGTTCCACAGGCAGATCTAAGCTCTTGAGGCTATCCTGTGGCAGTGGGTTCCACAGGCAG